TGCATCTATGTTCATCAGGGATATTGGTCTGTCATTTTCTTTTTTTGTGGTGTCTTTTCCTGGTTTTGGTATTAGGAGTGATGCTGGCCTTATAGAATGAGTTTGGAAGTATTCCCTCTTCTTCTACTCTTTGGAAAACTTTAAGGAGGATGGGTATTAGGTCTTCACTAAATGTTTGATAAAATTCAGCAGTGAAGCCATCTGGTCCAGGGGTTTTGTTCTTAGGTAGTTTTTTGATTACCAGTTCAATTTCATTGCTGGTAATTGGTCTGTTCAGATTTTCTGTTTCTTCCTTGGTCAGCCTTGGAAGGTTGTATTTCTCTAGAAAGTTGTCCATTTCTTCTAGGTTATCCCACTGTAGTTTTTTTTATCATCAAGTTTTGTCGTAGTATTTACTGTCCGAAGAGATATGGTATATGATGGGGGTGGGGTGGAAAGGAAGAGGAAGCTAACCCATAAACTTGTGGAGAACAAGAAAAACGGGGAAATTTTTCCCACAATTTTACCAGTTTACTACATCTAAGTACTTTTCTTTCCATTATTTTCCAAGTGCTCTGCTAGGATTTTTAACCAGCCAATTTAGAACAACTGAGGTTACATCTCATATAAGGAGGATTTTTAATAGCATAAGACTTTTTTCTTCAGTGTTTCTGAAAAAACAAGTGTTTCTAATGATACTCCCAATATTAACATACAACTGAGCCAGTAAAACACAAAATTTGTGGTTATGTGGACATAGGATAATTTCTTATAAACCAAGATTTCAGCTTTGTAGAAAAATGTATTCATATAGGCATGTTCAATAACAACAGTGGAAGATTTATACCTTGCTAGTATTTACTTGCTACCAGGTACCAGTCTAAACAATTCACATATATAGTATTAACTTCTCACAACAAGCTTCTAATGCAGCTACTACTTACTAACACCCCCATTCGACATACAGGAAAATGGACAGGGAAATTAAGTTAACTTGCCAAAGGTCTCCCTCTGTAACTTAAACACAGTTTCTAAGTTTGTGCTTTTATCTATTACACACACTACCTCTCATGAAATTAAATACCCTAATATTTTTAAACAAGTTTCTTTAGTTAGAAGAAATCTTTCCTTTTCAAAAGCTGAAGGGATGTCCCAGGTACTTCATTCAGCTACCCTAATGGGTGGCATATCC